AATACTGACTGATTAGGCATGCCCTGTTGTTAAAAGCTGTTACTGTGAATCTGAGCACCTTAGCAGATACAAGTAAAATAACTATTTTATTCCTGTTGTTTTCCAAGGTATGCCATTTCAGTTGCCCGAAAAATTGGTGCTCGTATATATGCTCTCCCAGATGATCTGGTTGAAGTGAAGCCAAAAATGGTGATGACAGTGTTTGCATGTTTGATGGGAAGAGGACTGAACAAAATAAAATAATGAAGAAACTGAATATAATTTTCTGCCATGTCAAGCACGATGAATGCCTCACAGTTTGCAGAATTTTGAAGCTTAGTCGATATAAAACCAGAGAAAACTTGTATGCGCAAATATACTCTTTAATTACATTTAAATAATATGTTTGTATTAGATTTCATTCAATTTCATGACACTGATTATTTATGGGTAATATTGTTTTCAGAACATGTTCATTACCAAATCACGATGACGAAGTTGTATTGCTTTAGAAAAATCCAACCATGTCAATTAAGCTTCTTTCATGTTACTTTCCATAGCATGTAAGAATCTGCATGATTTTACGTATGTTATTTCAGGACCTATTGTGAAACATCTTTTTTGGGGGCAGGGGTGTTATTTACATGTAGTCATACCTGTGTAAAGGTGCATTCCAATACTATCACATTACCCCAAACTGCATAACAGTTAGCATCCTTGCCTTATTTTCTGACAGCTTAACTCCTGTCGAAGTCAATGAGAGACTTTTAATGAAAGCAAGTGGAGGCTGGATAATGTCTGGAAACTATAATGATATCCTTCATAAAACTGATAAAACTTTTGGCGGGAACAAACTTTAAATATGTAGTAGTAATTTGTTCTGTGACTAAGCAGGAATTTTTATGGTGTGTGTCTTAAGAGATAACCGGAAATAGCAGAAATGTAATCATGGCATTATTGTATCTGCATATACATGACCTTTTGCAGGTGGACTAAACATCTGATTTTTTTCATAAAATATTGTATAAGAAAACAATAAAGAGCTGGCTAGTCCAGTCTTGGGGACTTGCACCTACTGCATTTTCTTGTGAATTTTTCCTTTGGCTTTCCTGAAGCATATTCCATATATGCTGAGGTTTTGCTAGAAAGACAGGTACATTGTCTAGGTGAGGAAAAAGTCCATAATTAGTTTCATATTCATTTTAAAGTAAATATTTGTGCTCCTTTCTGTGCAGCCATAAATATTAGCCAAAGACTCTGGGTCTTAATGTTTAATAACATTGTTACCGTAAGCCAAACAAGAAAGCAAGGGGGACAGCTAAAAAGAATAAAAACTAAGGACAAAAAAAAAAAAGCTGCTGCTACTTTGTGTCTCAACTCTTGAAAACAGTCCTAAGTGTGGCAAAACCCAAGAATCTTGATGAATGAAGTCAGACTGAGCTTTACATCTTGAGTATCTTGCACAACGTGTGGATAAAAAGATGATGCATCTATTTAGTTTCCCTTATGTAAGGGGATACTGGGAGTTGCAGAGAATTAAATACTTGGATTTGCATCCTTTTGTCTCTGTTTACTGGTTAATAGTAATTTATTATTGTTCAGATGATATAACGTGATAATTACCTGGTTTCTATCCCCAGTTCCAAACAAAGACTGAGTGTTATGCAGAATTTGAGGGTTTTGCACTGTTTCTGGAAACAAACAGTCTAAGTCCTCACTGAAGACAGACTGAATTGAGGGTTATTTCATCACTACACTGCAGGAATAACTGCTCTCTTCTTGCGATAGGCAGCTCAAAAGTCCTGTAAGTATCTACTCAGGCACTCAGCAACTTCCTCTGTAAGGCTCAATATTTGCTGTTGTGTAAACTGTTGCTGTAGTGCCTTGTTACCTCCAGGAAAAAAGCCACTAAAAATGTGGCTCATTATTTCATATCCAAAGTTACTCAGAACTCATTTTAATTAAATTGAAATGGGTTTTTTAAAGGCAACCATTCATGCTTCTCAGCATAGAAGTTTGATGCTGGGTAACGAAGATGTAGACGTTGAAGATAAATGACAGCCAACACCATTTGAAATGAATTTCTTCCCAGAGCAATGCTTGCTTTAAAGAGTGTGAATGTTTCCCTTAACCAAACAAGATTTTTTCTAAAGGAGATTCAAGAAACAGTGATTCGGATTTTCCCTCGTCTAAATCCTTATCGCTCTGCCAAAGTTAGTAGAGCTATGACAATACTCAGCTAAGGCTGTAGTTCTGTGTCTCTACTTGCTACAAACTGATGCAGTAGAGACAATTTTTGAGTAAGCGCCTGTATAAACTAAACGAGATAAACACACAAAAACATGATAGGTGGAAGTTTGTGCATGGTAGCTTGTATAATAAACAACTAAATGAACTTGAGCTTTGTGAAGTTCAAGGATAGAATGGCACGTATCCTTTTTATATAAAAAGGAAACACTTAAAGAGCTGTGGTGTCTAGAAGCATCCACATGGGAGGAAACAATGAAAGACAATAGCTATTCTCCCCGTCTTGGGGCTAGGCACACGCACGTGCCTTCCCTTGAGAAGGCCCAATGAGGTTATTTGTGAGCTTTCCTCTTCCTACCCCCTATCACTTCCTCAGCTGTAACTTTTTTATTCAGATGGATATGTTCATAAAACCAGAGAAAACCAGAAAGGGGTTCTCCTTAAAAATTAAAAAAAGGCCTACTTCCACTGCTTTTTCATGTTTGTTTCCCCTCCAAGCCCTGTTT